TTGATGGCGCTTTAAAGCGGCTTGTAAAGCGGCACCAAAGCGTAACAAAGCTTGATTAAAGCGTCGGGGTCGTAATAGGTCGTAGAAAAGCTCGGGAGTAAAGCGGGATGTTCGGCAAGAGCGCTAAAAAATTTAAACTGTTTAAGCGTTCGCTCAAACGGCGCTTTGATGGCGCTTTAAAGCGGCTTGTAAAGCGGCACCAAAGCGTAACAAAGCTTGATTAAAGCGTCGGGGTCGTAATAGGTCGTAGAAAAATTCGGAGTAAAGCGGGATATTCGGCAAGAGCGCCAAAAAAGTTTAAACTGTTTATGGTACGTTCACACCAACGGCGCTTTGATGGCGCTTTAAAGCGGCTTGTAAAGCGGCACCAAAGCGTAACAAAGCTTAATTAAAGCGTCGGGGTCGTAATAGGTCGTAGAAAAGCTCGGGAGTAAAGCGGGATATTCGGCAAGAGCGCTAAAAAATTTAAACTGTTTAAGCGTTCGCACCAACGGCGCTTTGATGGCGCTTTAAAGCGGATTGTAAAGCGGCACCAAAGCGTAACTAAGCTTGATTAAAGCGTCGGGATCGTAATAGGTCGTAGAAAAGTTCGGAGTAAAGCGGGATATTCGGCAAGAGCGCCAAAAAATGTTAAACTGTTTAAACATTTTGGGCGCTCTGTTACGAATTGATTGAAGCGCCGAGAGCGTATCAAAGCTTAACAAACCGTAACAAAGCTCAACAAAGCTTGACTCAAAGCGTAGGAAAGCTTAACACAGCTTGGTTCAAAGCGGGGACCCCAGTCTATTCACGGTCTGTTACCACTTGACACGCTTCGTTAAGATGTCTCAAGATTTGCTACGATCTGGCAAGAAGATCTGACACGAGGTCAGACGCTTTCATCAATATCTGACACTCTTTGTTACACTTTCCTGAGGGACTCTCAAGCTTTCCAACGAATTGAGACGCTTTAATCAAGGATTGAAACGCTTTGCTAGGCTTTGTTACGCTTGAAAGTTTTCACACGCTATATCACGCCGTGCGACAAGCGTCATGTCTTCTTCAGATAGGTCATGCTCTGGTCCATCTGGAATTTCTGGATCTCGTTGTTCTGCCATCGTGTTCTCGAGTCAAAGATGCAATGGTTTTATGGATCTACTGCATCTTTATATAGTCCTTGGATCAAAAGCGGCATGGAATCGGCGATCTCGACATTTTCCAATGCGTGACAGAGCTTAACAGAGCGTAACAATGCACAACAGAGTTTTGCAATCGTATCAGAGCCTGATTTAAAGCGTCATAATCGCATCAAAGCGTAATAATGCTTATCAAAGCTTTTCAAAGCGTGATTTCAAGCGTAACAAAGCCTGATCAAAGCGGGATCAAAGCGTGAGGAACCTTATAGAGCTATGTTAAGCTTTCCTACGCTTTGGATCAAGTTTTTCTGAGCTTTGTTACGGTTTGTTAAGCTTTGATACGCTCTCGGCGCTTAATCGATTCGTAACAGAGCGCCCAAAATTTTTTAAGAGTTTAAAATTTTTTTGCGCTCTTGCCGAATATCCCGTTTTACTCTGAGCTTTTCTACGACCTATTACGACCCCGACGCTTTAATCAAACTTTGTTACGCTTTGGTGCCGCTTTACAAGCCGCTTTAAAGCGCCATCAAAGCGCCGTTGGTATGAAGAAAAATGACAAAAATGACGGCGCTTTGCTCGCCGATTTAAAGCGTGGCATTCGCCGTTGGTGTGAACGTACCTTTAAAAATTTTGGGCGTTCTGTTACGAATTGATTAAAGCGCCGAGAGTGTATAAAAGCTTAAAAAACCGTAACAAAGCTCAGCAAAGCTTGACCCAAAGCGTAGGAAAGCTTAACAGAGCTTGGTTCAAAGCGGGGACCCCAGTCTCTTCACGGTATGTTACCACTTTACACGCTTCGTTAAGATGTCTCAAGATTTGTTATGATCTGGCATGAAGATCTGGCACGAGGTCAGACGCTTTCATCAATATCTGACACCCTTTGTTACGCTTTCATGAAGGACTCTCAAGCTTTCCAACAAATTGAGACGCTTACATCAAGAATTGAAACGCTTTGTTAGACTTTGTTACGCTTGACAAGCTTCCTCATGCTCTCTTACGCTCTTTCACGCCGTGCGTCAAACATCATGTCTTATTCAGATAGGTCATGCTCTGGTCCATCTGGAATTTCTGGATCTTGTTGTTCTGCCATCGTGTTCTGAGTCAAAGATGCAATGGTTTTATGGATCTACTGCATCTTTATATAGTCATTGGATCAAAAGCGGCATGAAATCGGCTATCTCGACATTTTCGAATGCGTGACAGAGCTTAACAGAGCGTAACAATGCACAACAGAGCTTGGCAATCGTATCACAGCCTGATTTAAAGCGTCATAATTGCATCAAAGCGTAATAATGCTTATAAAAGCTTATCAAAGCGTAATTTCAAGCGTAACAAAGCCTGGTCAAAGCGTGAGGAACCTATCAGAGCTATGTTAAGCTTTCCTACGCTTTGGGTCAAGCTTTTCTGAGCTTTGTTACGGTTTGTTAAGCTTTGATACGCTCTCGGCGTTTAATCGATTCGTAACAGAGCGACCAAAATTTTTAAAAAGTTTAACATTTTTTGGCGCTCTTGCCGAATATCCCGCTTTACTCTGAGCTTTTCTACGACCTATTACGACCCCGACGCTTTAATCAAGCTTTGTTACGCTTTGGTGCCGCTTTAAAGCGCCATCAAAGCGCCGTTGGTATGAAGAAAAATGACAAAAATGACGGCGCTTTGCTCGCCGATTTAAAGCGTGGCATTCGCCGTTGGTGTGAACGTACCTTAACAAAAACGAATATATTCTGAGTTCTCGGATAACATTCAAATGCAATATCAGGAATTTATTCATGCATAAACAATCTATGAATGTGCATTCGGATTTTTCTGAGTTGACATTGTGAACCCGCATACCCAACATGCAGTTGGAGTCGATATGGAAAGTGAACATTTTATACCAGGTTTCAAGTTTATAGTCCTGGCAAAGTTTAGTCAACAAACACGACATACTGGAAGTCAGAAACTATGTCAAAAAAAGCTACAATATTGTTTAACAAGTGCTCTGATGCAAGTAACAATATCTATAAAATTCTCTACTGCATACTTAGAGTCGATGGGCATAATTGATTCTTTTACATTGTCAACCTCATGCTGAAATGATTTACACTCCCCTCCATAAGTTTGGCAACCTTAGCTCCCCCATTGAACTACGTGTTAACGCCTCTTTACCTTTGAATTTTTATTGACTTAACCTGCGATGAAAATACGTATACTATTGATGGAAACGTACTTTGCCTTTATTTCTAATACCTCCAAATTTTCTCAATTTTTTCCTCAATTACAATGGGTCGAAAATTGATGATACATTTGATGAATTTTTGAAAATCGACATTCCCATGTTAACCAATCGGAAATGGTAGGTTTTCCGCAAGTCATATGACAGAAGATCCATCCATCAGAGTCCTTGCAAAAAATACTTGTTGGATAGGCAATTGAATTTGCTAACTTTATTTAACAAAAAATTGATGCGTTTCTTCAGGTTCAACAAAGTTATACGTCTTTATATTCAAAATTGTTTTTCAAAAAACCTCTCGAAATAACACAGGAGGCGAAAATGATTTTCAAAAATGACTTTGAAGATCTGTAACTTTAGTATTCATCAAGTAAACTAAATACTTAGTGGACAAAAAAGTTAGACAATTCAATTTGCCGTATAAACATATTTTTTGCTGAATCTTTGACTGAATAGATGTCCTGATATCTGATTGCCCCGAACCCACCATTTCCCATTGATTTACATGGAAATTACGATTTTCAAAAATTCATCAAATTTATCATAAATTTTCGACCTATTTTAATCAAGGAAAAAATGAGAAAATTTGGAGGTATTGGAAGTCAAATAACGTTTCCATCAATAGTATAAGTATTTTTACAGCAGGTTAAGTACATAAAAATTCAAAGGTAAAGAGGCTTTAACACGTAGTTCAACGGGGGAGCAAAAGTTGCCAAACTTATGGAGGGGAGTGTACATGTAGCCTTAGTTTGTGGTGTGCCTGTGTCTGATGTGTAATCAGAATTATAAAACAATGTATCGTTGCACTATTAAAGACCAAATATAAAGTTTAAACCTATTTGCCTACGCGATTTCGGTCTTTTAACAATGAAAAGAATAACATTTTCGGTCATATACGTTTATTGCGCCATATGTCATAGAATCTCGGTCTTTATTCCTGAAATATAGCGAAAAATCATCGATTGAATGGTTGAAATAATATGACATTTGCATGATGTATTCATTAGATTGGATAGTGATTTGGTTTTACAGTATTAAGTGTTGTATTGGAGGAGCTAAAAATCTAAGCTTTAATTTCTATAATGGTGGGAAAGTAGCATATTTGAAAATTATATGATGAACAACTTTTTCAAAATATCCAAATAGTTTTCCAAGTGATAAATATTAGTGTCAACTATTAAACCGTTAGAAAAGGCATATTGTCCAGATCTGCCCAAATGCGACTTATTTATTCCTATACTACTTATTTATATAGAGAAGGGATGCAGGTTTATTGACATTGATGAAATAAAACAACCCATACAACTGCACCTTGCTACCATGTCAGAGAATGGATTCAGCCTTGTCTCACAATCTTGATCTAAGAGGATGGGGAATTGTGAACATGTAGCACTCGATGGAACCTATGTAGAGGGCCCTGTAGAATGAACGTGTCATGAATACCACATAGTGAAGATAAAATATTAAAAATCAACTATGGCATAACAAAATGGGGCAATTCATGACCATAATGGTTTGTTTTGTTCAGCCTGCATGCAACTGCATTGCTAAAATAGCTTCAGAATGTTTGACGTCATGTCGGTCCCGGGGTACCTATAACTCCTTTGCGGACATAAAGATATATCAAAATATATTACATGTTTTGTTTTCAAATCTTCAGGGTTGATAGATTATTGAATGATGTATCACTGGTAAGAAAATCGAACGTATTGGTCTATAAAAGCATCTGTGTAAAAAGCGTCCATTTCTTATTGATCACCCCTCGTACAAATAAGATAATGATTCATGTTAAACCTCATTAAAATATACAGTTATCAACCTAGCCATTACACAACCTAAATCTAGTCATAGCGTTCCCATCCGTGTTCACAAAGAACATTAAAATACTCTCATCTACTAGTACGATTAAAGTTCACTAAAATAATTGATAACTTCGTCTGTACGTATTGTGTCCATGTTTTGCTTATCAATCATATTATCATATTATGCGCAACATCATCATAAACGGGTGATGTAAGTTTGAACGATCTTTAGTATATAGAACTTCTTGCTGACTTGTGTTTCGATGCGCCTTCATGATCACCATTTGATAACACACTGCAGATCGTTTTTGAGATTTACATTTGAAATCGTTTGGATATAATAGTAAGTCTGTCAACTGTACACGCTGCTAACAATTATTTGCTATCTCCATTAGTGAATCCAGAAGCTAACAGGGGGGGGGGGGGCATATTCCAAGTCTTGGAAAACATTTTGGAAAACATTCTTGGCATCTAAAACCTAAAATTGGGCCCCGGGGCCCACATTTTAAAAATGTGAAACCCATTTTAAGGGGACCCGTGCCCCCTCTCTGGATCCGCCGGCGTTCTCTATACAGACCACAGCACTGGTTCTACCGTTAATACATTATATCTAGTAATAGTTAAACAAATTATATATCAGTTAATTCAGATGCGCTATATACAGTAAAGCCCCAATGGGGAACAATATTGAAGCAGACTTTAAAAGTTTCACTTTGATATTTGTGTCCCCAGGCGACTTAATTGTGCATATCTATTATTGTCCTGTGCTACCTGCTTTCCTACCAACAGCCGATTGAAGTTGGGCATCGTCTTCTCTATACACGGAATTTTTAACCAGCCAATTTTTCATCCACTTTTGTACGTCCTCCACACCCTTTATACCGACGTTTTTCATCTCTGTTGTGAGCTCTATCAATTCCGTGAACATAACCTCGAACTCTGGTACATCGATAGCATTAAAGACATCACTATAGGCCGTTTTAAAATGACTAATCGCTTTCTTGGTACTCAACTCATTCTTATAACGAGAACATTGACTCAGGCATATCAGAACTGGACAACCAAAAGGTATCACCTTCTTTAGTTCCTCTCTATGGAGTTTAGTCGGATCCCCTTGGAATTTCGTGATGTAAATAAAGAAGCTCGCAGTAGCTCCAAGATATTGCATCGTTCCAGCAATGCTTTCATCCAAAGAGTCGGAACCTGGGAAATCAATCACCTTAAAAAATAACAGTATAGATAAGTTCAAACAACTTTGACTCAACGTGTAAGTTGACAAAACTAACCCATCGGCTACCATGTTTCACACTACCCTACCTCGATAGCGCATGCGCAAATTTTTTGGCGTTCAACCACGTCGCTTTTGAGTATTTCGACTGCTTAGTCAAAAGGTTAATACATTTGGTGCTCGGAGTGAGTCAATATTGCTATTCGCTGAACTTCAGTGGTGCAATAGTGAAGTCCATGTTCCAAGTTATACGATAGTTGAAGAAAGAATGTAAATAATATCGTTTTAAATTTTAAAATATTTGATATGTCATAGTACACGGTACACATATGCAAAAGTTGATCAATACTGGGTACAAGGAATGTAAATTGCTCAATAGTACAGGGAGCGAGAAAGTAAGCTGATTATACAGACATACTATGTCCCGATCTCACGTGCATTTACGTTGCAAACAGTGAAAATAATGCTTAAAAGGCCGCCTGTTGATGCTTTGAGGTGTCATCAATTGTTATTTAATCCAAATAAAGTAAACATTATTTTGTAGATTTAGACACGGGCTTACGTGTTACTAGTGTATCAAATTGAAATGAAATAACGAAATTAAATATGAACACGTTAATGATAAATGACTATCCGCTATCAGGATTAATGACTATCCGCTATTCAGAATAATTAAAATTGCCTGAACTACATGTAAAGAATCTTTTTATATAACCCCTTGAATGGTCTAATTCACTATCGTCCTCAAAAAACGATCATTTAAAATATTTTGTTCAAAGTACCACCATGCCACGACTTGAGAGCATTTTGTGTTTCACGATTTGCTGTAGCGCTGATATGACATCGTATTTCTCTATTATTTAAAAAAAACTAATACCAGATCGATGTAGTCTTATATGCCGTGTTGAATGTCAGATGTTTTTGGATGGTATCTGCTCCAGTGATTTTGCATTTAATCATTAAACGCTCATCACAAGACACCTCGAAACAAACATTATCCTCTTTGTGACAAGAAGAAAAAAATATTTCACAATATGTTATGCCTTACGGCAAAGTAAAGATACATTTCTGGGACGACGTTTTTTGCATCTTAAGATTTTAGAAAAACAATTAATTCACAAAAATACAGTTGAATAACATAGGTTGAAGATCACAGTAGAGTTTCCCATAGGTGGCCATTATGACATTTTACCCTGTATCTTATTAACGATTAGTATCCAAGCCTAGTGCAATATACCACAGTGTTCGGGAGAGACTCGCCTAGCCTGCTATAACAATCTTACCATGGGTTGTCCACCGAAATTTTGAAATAAATAAACTTGAAGACACTAACCCCCTCTATCGTCAGATTTCTCAGAGAATTCTGGTAAAATCACCAAGGTCAAAATCACTCCGCCGCCAGCTTAAAATGAGATTTCCCACTGAACTCTGACATGTTTTCAGATAAATTAGGACCTACCCTATAAATATTTAGTCCCGATTCACTTCCCAAACGCCAGATGGCGCTCCAATGGGGTAGGGAAGGAGAAAATAACTTTTTATTCAGAAAACCAAATCACTAAAAACGTATCCACATATAACACGATGACACGCAGTTTAAATAACAGTTAACTGTTTTTTTTGTTACATATCAATGTAACATTTTCGAAGGGAAACTTACATGCTCCCTGTACGTTGATAGATTTACTGAAATGTATCGTGTATTGCATTGGGTTTTGCTTCACTGCGCCCACTATTATCTATCTTTGCCTATAGTGGTTTTTTGCCAACAATATTCTACAAACTGCTTGATGAATTAATTCTATGTCTGGTAGAATACTAGAAATAAATGTAAAATGCATTTTACGTTCAGAAATATGGAATTAAACCCACGTCCTCCATTTGCAACTTAGCTGTACCCTGTTTCCATTTTAAACGTGGTCACGTGGTAGGGTAGTGTGTGTTTATACTACTATTTCATTACCAACTCACTTCAATATGAATGGAATAGTGGCAGGCGCTATTCATATTTAAATGAGTTGCCCGAAAAAAGAAGGTAAATCCGGTAGCCGACAGGCGTTAGTTACATTTGCGCATTTACAAGCTTAGACCTTGAGGATTAAAGATACATTAAAACGAATCGAGGATAATCGACCTCTCGTTACCCCCCTATCACACCAAACTCGTTCTTACCCGTTCTTGCCAGTCCTACGAAAACGTCGTAAAACGGCCTCAATCTGGCTGTGGTCGGGAAATATGTCTGAAATAATTAGCTTCTTCGTTCTTAAACAGTCTTCAATACGTCCATCTCGTTCGCAGTTCGTTCAGGTCGCATCACGACGGTGTGCAACGCCGTAGAACGCGTCCCTTAGTTTAGAAGGTCATCATGACCTGATAACAGAACGGTATGATCGCAATCGAACTTTGAATCGATTCAAAATTCTAAAATCATATTCCCGTCTGAGAACGTTCATAAAGTTCGTAAATAGTCCTTAGAAAGTTGCAGCTACGTTCATTCCGTTCGCACACAGTTTAAAACCAGTTTTGAAGAACGCAGTGGCAACTTGTTTGGTGTGATAGTTATATTTTTGCTAACTCGTTCATAAGCAGTGTTAAATACGTTCTTAATCAGTTTCAACCCGTTTGCAATGAGTTCTACCTCGTTCTCAACACGTCCTTAGACAGTTCAACTCGTTGTTGAAACGTCCCTAGTAGGATTGAAGTACGACGGTTCCGTTCGTAGTACGTCCAGCTCGTCGTTAGTACGTTGTCACTCGTTCAAATTGTAAAACGTGACGAACACGAGAATATTTTGAGCATTGTCAAGTTCAAGAGGACCTACCCGTTCGAGTGCGTTCGATGAAGTTTGTAAATAGATCCCAAACGGTTCTTAGTAAGTCCAGTCCGTTCGTACACAGTTGAAGCCCGTTTTCGAGAACGTAGTGAGAACTAGTTTGGTGTGATAGTAGGGTTATGTTTGTAAAATACATACATGTATTAGATATTTAGAAATTTTATTAACTTTATTACACGTGTATAAACGAAGCTATAAATATGTATAATGCTTAAACATGATGTTATAAATGGTGACTTTTTTAATACGCGTCCATTGTTCACACTGTTTTATTCATTTCTACATTTATAAATAATTTGTGATATAATTTCAACTCCCCTATATTCACTTAAATGTTATAAAGTGTATTGGTATATTTAGATAAAAGAATGCATGAAAACACTCCCCGATTCATTCTACAAACAACTCGCGGCCCTTTGAAATCGACCCGTTGAACGTTTTGCCTGAAACTGGGAAGACAAGACTTTACAGAAAATTCTAGGACGAGATTTACAGACAAAATTTTAGGAAGAAACTCTTAAAATGACAACCCTTACATTTACTCAGAATGCCTAAAATATGTTCGTACAAAAATCATCTATGAAAATGTGAACAAGATTTTGAATGGAAACTCCAAAATTACCACCTCAACATTTACCAAGAAGGACCAAAAACCAATCCGATCTATAGCCTGACACAAACTATCATATCTAAAAAAGGATCTATCAAAGGGTTCGCCTGGAAACGCGTAGATAATACTTTACAGAATTGATTTTAACGACAACATTTTAATGCAGATTTTTTTACAATACACTCGGACACCTAGAATGTTCAAATTATGTGAACTCAAGAACACCATAAGGATATGGACCTAGTACATAGTGCTATGATTGTTGACATAAATCCTTCCAAGGTGTTGTTTCAACTACAGGGCGTCCACAAAAAGTATACCAAGGGAACTAGAATTCTAAGCAAGTGTTTACAAGGTAGTGCAGTATAAGGGCTAATTTGTTCTCCATCAGATGGTACCTAGATCATTATTGAACAGTCATGTACGACTGAGAAATTATGACCATAATCGTGGTAAAATCAGCACTGTGCAAAATAAGCATTCAAGTACGATTGACGACGCGAATGTTTTTGTGGCACTCTTTCTGAAATCCTCATGTTCTCAGAAGAACTCAAGTTGATCGAGTCTCAACAAGTAGGTTCATGTGGGACAGTATTGCTAGAATCCATTTTCAATGGTAAGAATAGGGGTTCTTAAACATTATATTTTACTTGCTTTAGAGAATTTTTGTTGACTTCTACTGCCAAGGTGTCAGTTTAACCACGTTTTAGAGTAAGTAAGCTTTTTGACAAACCTTTTTACATAAGAGAGTGCAAGTCCCGTCCTATAACATAATGTAATGGAATAAGAATACTAATGCCTTGGTCACATTTGCTCCGATTTTCACTACGGCGCCCGGCCGATTGAGTATTTTGTTCAACATTCACTGGCATGTAGCGGCCCTGATATCGATAAATTCTACACGCAATATAACCCGATACTACATGCTTGGTTAAAACTTTACACGAAAAAGCTTCGATATCCGGGCATTTACTCTTACACTGAACTGAAAATAGCATCGTCTAAACGTGTATGTGTTGGCTTCCGGGTAAGTTTATCAACATTTATACTCAATTGAAAGAGCAGTCGTGCTTATATCGTGTACCAGTTTGATTTATTTATATGTGTGTGTATTTATAACACGATAGCCTAGTAATACCGTGTCGTTAGAACAACTGCTAGATATCGAACTGATGACCCGAAGTTACATTATTGGACTGATCGCGCATCTGATATTAAATGATTACTTTGCATTGAATCTGATATTAACTTGCAACCCAATACCATGACTTTACATTTGAATGATAACACGGCCTCATATTCTAATCCATTATACGTCCATTGCAGGCCAAAATTGTTTCAATGTGGATATTGTAATGCACACGAGACTACATTCGATTCGTATATTGATCATACATCAATTGAACATGGAGATTTTCCTGTACACGTTTCCCAAACCTGTGGAATAGACAAGATGCGAGTAGAAATTATCTTGATTTACGTCATCAAATATTCAAAATTCATTTCTTGAAAAAATTCGAAACCATCGAATATCACTTTTGAAGACGT